TTTTAGAACGTAATTTAATGCTATTTGGACCGCGTTAAGCAGAAAGGAACCAAGCCACATCAACTATAGCCAAATTTAATTGGGCAATTTCAGTTTTTATGCGGAAACGGTTGTGCGGATTTTTGTGCTAATTTCAGTGAATTTTCTGCATGGTACGAGGCAAATTCCTTAAATTTTTTTAAAGGAATCCGCACAAACGTTTTCTTGTAAAACATTAAATTGCCCAGTTAAATATGATATTGGCTGATGTGGCTTAGTTCCTTTCTGCTAAAAGTGGTCCATTTTTCCGTCATAGTATGCCTAGCATACCATGTCCAGATCTCCTCTTCAGAGATCGTTTCGTTTTGTCTACCCCAGGTAACCAATTTCAAATACTCGTGATGGAATGTAACAGATACAAGTACACGACACCAACTATTTGCTTCGTGGCTATTTCAGCTTTCAAAAGCTTCCTTGAAGTACTTCGACATTAATTCATGTTTTATAAGCCCGGTCTCCTGGTGCTTTAATTTGATAACTCTGAAGCAATGAATAACGCACTGAACTTTTTTTTTACAAGCTTTGGGTCCTGCCTCACCAGGTTCTGAACTGACCGCAGGTTTATACACATTTCTGTCTTACTTTCTTGTCAGACTTTTTTTAATTCTTCCACAAGGACAAATATGTCCGGATACACGTTCGAAAGGTTTTCCCTGTGGCGTCTATGAAACGACTCCGTTGCATTCGTCGTTCTTAGGTCAGAAAATGAGGGCCGTGGCCCATATTTTAAAAGTGCAATTTTGTACTATTTTTAAACAATCAAAGCATTTCTCGGAAAATTGACAATGTTGCGACAAAAATCAATAACAGTTAATTTTATCGGTGCTATGGACAACACTATATTTAGGTTGGGGTGTTGGAGAAAGCAAAGCAATCTCAGTGAGTATAGCATGCACGAACACAAAGCTAATTTCGTTATGACTCCTGGATACAACTATTCGAGCTCCACGGATGAGCGTGTTGCATACGCACGGAAGCGAATGCGTTTTGACTCTCCCGGCACTCATTACTCACCCCTCATCGCTTCACCCGCTCCGCGGGCGGATTCCACCGCGAGGATCCAAAATGACAGAGCGCGCCCTCAATTCCTCGTTTCCACCACAAATACATCCACTATCCACATACGCGCGAATAGTTGGACACATGCGTGAGATGTTCTTTTGAGCATCAGTATTCAGTTTTGATGAAGCGATGTGCTGAGGATGATTTGTAGAGCAACTATTCGTGCGTAGTATAAACGAAAAAGCGAAGGCGCTTTGTCATTTTGGATACCCGCAATACAGCCCGCCGCCGCGCCGCACCGTGGGTGAGGCAGTTAGTGCCGCCTGGAGAGCCAAAACGCCTTCACACCCGTGCGTAGGCAACATTAACATCAGTGAAGCTCGAATAGTTGCATCCAGTCGTTAAAATAAACTTTTCTTAGTGCTCGTTGCATGCGATAATAATTGAAGGCACCTGGCGTGTTATTTTTACACCTCAACTTAATTTCAGCGTCGCGTATTGTGTCAATAAAATAAACTATCAATGATTTTTTCACGGCATTGGCAATTTTACGAAAAATGCATTGATTGTTTAAATATTTTAAAGCGTCGACGGTCCTCGAAATTGCAAAAATATTAGATATCTGAGTAAGATTTGTAGAGTTTCCTTAAACCTACATTAATGAGTTGTCCTTTGCTTGGATTTTTTCGTCTATCAAAAAAATACCTTTGACGTTCAAGTGCGAAAATTTCAAAGAACAATCTTCGAAGCCGGTCTACAATTCCTTGCATAAAATTCTAGTTAAGACGTCAAAAAAATCATAAATATGCTTCGTCTTAAGTTTTCTTTCATTCAAGGATTTGGGCTTTTGGGGTGAGTCTCAGAACTCATCTTCTGTGCTATCAGGCCATGCATTCCCCACTTCTGGGGTTTGCGCTTTTGTGTACCGCCCACTTCAAGTTTATTAATTATTTATTAGTATCTATTACAGTATGACTTATGAGCACCCTTGCACCATGAAGATGCTGTAATTTGCCTTGTCAATAATTTCTCTAGCATCATACGTCTTTTTTGAAGCTCCATTGAAAATTCTTTCATTTATGAAGTATCTTTTATCATTTAGACTAGGAAAACAGCAATGAGGTACCACATCTTTTTGCGTCTAAAGTATAAAAGAATGTTTAATGTTTCAGTCAAAAGTTTTTACTTCGTTTTTATTTCTTGGCTTCGATCAGAATTAGTTTGTTCTGTCATTATGAATGCATACGTGGCGCCCACAATGAATATTATTTTAGCACCCCTGAGACGATAATTTCTCTACACTTAATCACATAGGGCTATTAAAGTGTAAACATATAGATATTTGTAGAGTGGTCAAGGGAAGCTAAAGAACATCTGGAAACGTTCACTCCAATTCATATTTCATTTTTATTGAACACAGGTTCGGAAAGTACAAAATATACTAAAAGTGCGCATACTTCCGGCGCTGCAAAAGTTGATTTTTAACGTTTTTACGGGTACATTTTTCCTCGTTTTTAAGCTATTCTACCGCGCAACAAGCTCTAGTAATAATTCCCAGATTGGCTAAAAATTTGGGGGTGGAGTGAAACTTTGCGGCCAATGCGAGACGACTCACCTTACCGACTTGATAAATCATGCAAAGGTTTTTCGCTCGGAGCGGCGTAATTCAAATTATACGGCTCTTGTTTTTCTCTCTGGGATTGCCATTAAAATTGCCAGATTGTGAAATTAAATGTAGATATTTTACGTGGGGTTAAGCGGGGGAAATTGCGGATTTTCAGCACCATCTGGCAACTATTGCCATTGCCTGCGGTGGAGAAAGACGTGTCAAACGGGAGGATTTTCTGTTGTTTGGTGTAGTCACGGACCTCCGGGCTCCAGTAGAGATGGCCCCGACTGCGTTACAAAGCTGGGGTTCTCGAATAACGCAAGTTTCCGCTGCCATTAACAGACGCGTAACCGTTCGTCCATTCGTGCTAGGACACTCCGCGAGGCAAGAAGCCTGGGGCGAGGCCTAAGGCCCTCTTGGGAGTGGCCCCTTTCTGCCGTGCTAAGAAAGAACGCCGTATGAACATTCGAGAGTTGCCAAATTTCCTTTGATAAAATATTTATTTTTGCGGAAAATTATGAATATTTTTCCTTGAAATTTTCAGGGGCTTTAGATTAAAATACGAACAAAATTCTCTGAAAAAATTGAAAGAAAAATATTGATAAGTTTACCGGGGAATTCGTGTTTTATTAAAGAAATTTGGCAACGCCTGAAGGTTCATACGGCGTTTTTCCTCAGCACGGCAGTGTTGGTGTTAGAACATGAAACGACTTAATGAATTTGGCCACCATATAAAGTTACATCAATAAGATTTATAGACATTCCTTTATTAAATATATATCGGGATTTTTTGTTACGTGATGTTAACTGTAAATAATTTCGAAAAAACAAAAATTAGACTGATATCGTCTATTTTATCAGCGGTGTATTTTATAGTAATTCAAACCTATGAGTATCTATACTCTATTTTCAGATTTAATGATACAGTATTTGGAAACTCTCTCTTTATTTTAACTGGATTACATGGTTTGCATGTTTTAATTGGGCGTTTATATCTAATTACAAGATTAAAGCGGTTAACCGAAATCCAGTTTTGTGAAAAATGGAAAAAAAAAAATAATTCAAGGGTTTTCCTATTCAGTCAGCACACTTTTTCTTCGAGGGATCCTCCTGCATGATTTTAGGCGCTATGCTTTTTACATCTGTTTAAGTGATCGGGTTGCCCATTTTTCTTCTCTTTTTTCATGGATTTGTTTATTTCATTATTTTATTTCATTTTATTTTTGAGAAGGCGTTTACCAATTTTTCCAGCATCTTGAAGCATGTTTCTGATTCATCGGTCTATTTTCGATCATGTTGTTCGTCCTACTTTTTGTGAAGTGATTTTATCGTAACGAACTTAACATCGCGTTGCCGTTATTTGAATTTTGCGGGCAGACTAAATATATGCACTGTAGGAAAGACTTAGATATATGCTTGGGTATCGTTGCGCTAGTACTCTCAGATTTTTTAAGCCTTTAAGCAAACAAACCTGATCAGGGTTCATGATAACGCCATCGGAATAGTTGTACCATATGTCTGCGAGGTAAATATTTTTACTCTTGCCTTGTTCTTTTATGTTCTTTTGCGTCAAAGAGAGAAGTTGGAAAATCACAAATAACTCAAAAATTGCTGAGATGTTGTTTGACTTGATGTCAAAAAATCGCCGCAAATAAGACAAATTTCATTAAATGAGCTCAATGAAGGCTCGTTAAAGAGCCCACGAAACGATCCAACAACAACCGATACGATTTGCATTACCCGTAAATTGCATGTCGAAATCGTCAATAGTTTTCTCATAAGAGGTCAGGTCATACGTTGGTTTTTGAGGTCAGCTTTCTGTTTTCACGATGTAGGTTATCTCGCGCATTTTTAAGTTAGCAGTTATCCCTTTCAATTCTGATTTGTACATCAGGTTGTATGATAATTTAAATTTTTTCTGGGGTTTAATTGTACGAGTATAAAGTCTAATTTAGAGACTCTTTTCATTTAAAGGAAATTGATTTTATATATTTATTTTTTTTTGTGTGTGTGTAATTTTGAGGTAATTATCTACTTATACGGCGTGACTTAAAATTGGCATCAAAAGCTAGTGGGTCAATTTTTAATTATAAAAAATAAAATCATTTTACATATTGATTTACGCCATATTCACTCAAACTTTATTATGAATTGATAGCGTGTTCAGCAGTGTTCGATCAAAAGTTAGTATTAATTAGACGTAATATCCAACATTGGGTGTTCCGAATTCGCTTGTTGGCCCTAGAAAATCCGAGGGGCAATTTTTTTTAGATTATTCGTCGATGGAAAGGAGATATGAAAAATAGAATATTGAAAGAACAGAACGCACAGTAGAGAAAAAACCACTTACTAGCTTGAGTAGCTGATGGAAAGGCAATACGAAACCGCCGACGATAAATCAACTGGTAAATATGTTTGAAGACCGGGTGCAACGGTTAACTTAAGCGCAGAGTTTTTAGCACGCTCGAAAGCCCCCAAAACTGTTGACGAACTAATTACGGCGGGAAAACATGTAAGCAGGCTGGTACGCTGATGAACTTTCGTAGCGCCACTTGTTGCGTCGCGTGTAGAGGACTACCCCTGGCGTTCGCTGGTTATATAAACCGCTGCACGGGTGCACAGCGGGCTGCTTTCCGCTCAGCGCCGGCGCTCGCCTCTGCACGACTACCGCCGCATCCCCCGAAAATCATCCCTCACTCTTGTGTGGGCTCTACGCACTCCTCCTCTTCATCCCCTTGCCAAATGCGAGAAAATATGCGATAGCTCACTGGAAAAAATCATGCATAAACTATCGGATGCCCAAAGAACAGAACAAACGTTGCTATAAAATACCCTTCCCCCCTCCCCCCTTGATCATAAAAAGACCTGTTAAAATTACGATCTATTTTTCATCCCCTTGCCAAATGAGAGAAAATATGTGATAGCTCACTGGAAAAAATCATGCATAGACTTCCGGATGCCCAAAGATCATACCATGTGTTGCTGTAAAATAGGACCCACCCCCTCCCCCCTTGATCATAAAAAGACCTATTAACATCACGATATATTAATAGTATAGTAATTGCACCTGCGAGTACAGGTAGTGAAATTAATAATACAAATTCAGTAATTAAAACTGAGGCTAAAATTATCGATCCTTGCACTGGAGACTATAAGTATGAAGATTTTTACTTTATTTTTATCCCATTTCGTTACAATAACGTCCTAAAATTTCAATTTGAGCCGTGACGGACTGAAATTGGCGGACAAAAATGCGAAATTTTGAGTAAACATATTTAAAGTCAGAAGCCGTATTTGGCGGTCAAAAAAATCATTTGATGAGAATTCGACGGAACGTTCTCTGCTCCTATATAAATGTAAGTGCATATCAACGGTGAAACTACCAAACCACGTATCTCGGTTTGCGACGTCGCAGACTTCCTGTCATACTTTATTTTTTAAATGAAAAACTACTTGACGTCCAGTCTTGAAAATTTCTGTGATTTTTCCTCTTCGTGCGGAGAAAATTCTGTGAAAATTTCAAGGAATGATATTAATTTGGTCTACTTCAAAAAAATAAAATGCGAGCGTAGATTTTTAAACACCGCAAACGAGATACGTGGTTTGGTAGTTTCACCGTCGATATCCACAAGCTACCTACGATTTAGTATGTGAGAAAGTGTATGGTATAGCTCTGGATATCGCGATGAAAAGTGTATAATGTGGGTAACTTTTCAGCAAGGGCTAGAGTTCTCTCAACGAATGAATGTTCCGATTATTGTGCCACTTAATTGAACTAAGCCGCTTCAACGAAATGATTTCTGCGTGCTTCGTAGAAAAATTCGAATAAGTTGCAGATTCTCATTCAGTTTGATGATGCAATTGCGGTTGTTTGATTGATCGGCCATGATCCGTTTCCAATTATAAAATTAGTAAGTTAGCGAGAAGCGCGCTTTTCAAGAGCAGTGCGTCGTTGATTTTCCCCCTCCCCCTCCTCTCTCTAAGACCCTCCCCCCCCCCCCCCAAAGGGACCAAACACTACCCTTCCCTGGAAAAAAACGAGCTCCCTGTATGATGGAATACAATCCAAACTATAACCTGTCCTGTCCGTTCAAAAGTTAACCCTCTACAGCAACAGCTGTAAGAATTCGTAACAACGTATTTTAGGGTTTTTAAAAATTAAATCTTTCCCCTGCGGCTTCATCTTGCAAGTTTTCATTAGTATTTCTATTTTTTTTAATAACTAATTCCCAAAAATAGAAAATTTTAAAAAAAAATTGGTACTCTACGTTTCTTCGTCTCAGAATCTCGGATCCAAAATAAGTCATGCCATAAAGGGCTAAAGTCACTCGTCGGTTACTTTTGACTCGCCCTGTATACGAGAAAAATCATCGTGTTCAAGGAACGCTGATCAAAAAATTTGAGTGAGGAGACCCAGTCTTGTTTCTGATATTTGCCGTCCATATTCTGACGCGTTCATGAAACAACTTACATGGAAACGTCTGCAAAATACAATTGGAGCGGGTGGGAATATCAACGGGAGGCATTGACAAATGATGTAGAACATTTTTCATCACAACGCTTGAATTAACCTCACTTCCGCACTGACGAGTTTAGTCCGGGCGTTGCTGCCTTGAATAAATTCATTCGTCCTACACCTCGGGCCCGCGGAAAGACGCAATCTTAGATTTCAAGATTTGAAAAAGGAGAGAGAAAAATAAGCAGATATGATAGAATATTCTAAAAAATACATTTAATACTAAATTAGCAAAGCCACCACCCAAGTATGTGCGATCCTCTGTGTGTTTTTAATCCCTGGTCTTTACAAATTGAGTAACCCGAGTCCTCGAATCTGATAGTTTTGTTTGGAACTTTTTTTGGTTTTCCGTAATTTAGCGTGCCCAAATTTGCAGAAATGGAGGACAAATTGATACAAAATGTGATAGATCTTCTGATAAGTCAACACGAAAAGCTGAAAGAGCCGCGAAACCTTGCGGAGGAAATAAAAGCATGGTTGGAAACAATCCGCGAGAAGATCGTTTCGTCGGCTACAGATTCCGATTGCGAGACCTCAGACTTAACACGGAATAGAATTAATGAAGTATGTCCAGAGGTTGAGCCTCTAGTCGACGTTCGTTTGAGGTAAGTTTAGATAGTTGAACTTTCCCCCGTGGTTCATTAGTTCTGAATGATCACTTACTTGACTATGACCCTCCGAGCAGATTATACAGTCGCGGTTTTAAAAATATATATTTTATTTATCTGCGATACATCTTCCATGGTCATATAAATTCAGTGAGTTGTTGATAATAATCGTAAGCTAGTTTCAGCATGCCAACTGTGTTGTTTGAAGAAGTATTTTATTGTTTGAAGTTCATGAAAATTTAGTGAAGTGTAACGAGACTGTGAAACATTTTAAAATGAAAAATGTTTTAGACGCTGAGTGTACGAGTCATACTCAAACGCAATATTTGCTTTAAAATTTAACTTTACTCTTACTTCAGTAACATGTAAAAAAAAAAATCTCTCTCTCCCTATCTTTGCATGGAGAGTTTGTTTTGATGTAGAGGTGGACTCTCAGGATAGCGTGAGATATCCCCTCCATTTTGGCTTCAACTTGAGAGCTTTTTTTGAGCTTGGGAGTTGATTGCAGAGAGAACCAGTGGCACCATCGTGTTTCTAGCAAACTTTTAGGTACATATGAATCAACGGTCAAATCGCAAATTCCTCCCACATGCAACATCTCCATTGACGAATTTAAAAACTTGTAGGAAGCCATCCCAATTTGACACGACATATTCTGCGGATCTAGAAGTCAGAGAGCATCAGTGAAAGATGACCCCGAAAGTCGCATTTATGAAAGCGTCTTAAGGATGTAATTTACTTCCGGGGGGTGGTTAGATACGAATTTGATTGACGCGTATATTCATGTATAATCTATACGAGCAAGATTGGTGCTTTTCAGAAGGTCCCCAAATTAAAGCCTGACATTATGGGAGAAAAGAATATCCAACGCTTACTTGCATTGAACAGGCTTTTGATGGTTTGAAAGGCAATGGGCGCGTATGGCTCATTGCATCCGTCCTCCTCGGCATTTTTTCCATTCACGAAATGTAAGACAAAAGTCTCCTCTTATATAATGTATAACGCATCGTTGACTAGATTCAAAACTTCGTTTCATTTTTTCAAGGAAAAATTAATATCTCAAATCATGTAAATTATTCCTTCACCGAAAAAAAAGTGAGTTGATTTAACATTCTGCATGTAAAAAAAGTGTGCGAGAACTCACAAAATGCTAAATTACCCGCTACGGCAGTTAATTTTACATCTTGACATTGCTAAAGGAACTGCTTTATCAGTGAATTCATCATGTTGTAAGTTCTCGCACACTTTTTTGCATCCAGAATGTTAAATCAACTTCACTTTTTTCTCAGTTTTCTTTATCCAAGTATGTCGTTAGTAGTTCGTTAGTAGGAACATTATATGAATGCGATGTAAAACATAAATTAAGGCGCTTAAGGACAGGGCGCATGAGTACAGTTTTTGCTAAATCAAGAAGTACCTAAGTTTCAAAATTACATGGAGCCCCAAGGCAGAAAGGAAGTTTAAACTCGCTTTCTGGTGCTTCAAAGTTAAATTGTAATTGTGAATTTTTCACAGAATATATGTACTTTCAAACTTGTTTTAGTTGAATTCATGAATACCTCGATTTTTTTTAAAAACTACACTTATGCGCATTAACCTCCAAGCTTCTCAGTTAAAATACATAATTTCTGATTTAAAAAAATACAGCATGAGACTGAAATATGGGCGTATTTTGGCCTTATTGTTACCGCTACACATTTGTCTTAGTTTTTTTTCTTTTCTTTTTACTTCCATATGGAAGTATGTGGGATGAAAAGTTGTGTTCCGGGCTCCGGCAAATTATGACGGTAGAAGCGAAAAACGTCACAAATCTCAACTAGGACGTTAAATCTCTATTTTTTTTTCTTTTTAAAAGGAAAACAATCATTCTCACTTTAAATTCTTACAGAATATTTTTAATTGCACAAAATGCATCGGTAAACATCCCAAGAAAAAATGCTCGATACATTTTTTGCCAAACAAATTCATTTTTTGTCCTGTGAATAAAACAAAATGTGCAAGTCATAATATGCGTTCTTCGTTGTTGATATACAAATATTTGTATAAATATGTACAGTATTGCAATGCAGGATCAATTATTTATTTCAGAGGTACCCGGCACTATCAAAACAAAGATCACCCACTGAGTGGAAAGTGAAGATCCGGTCAGGTCGTGATTCACACCGGTCAAGAATTAGGCGTTGTTAGGATATGGCTAGGTTAACGAGGGGGATTACAAAACCGCAACATAGGGTGTTCATGTAGAAGAGAAATTAACAGGGAGCTGAGCTAACAGCTTTCATTAGGTTCCTTGCTTATAAATGAAAGCCTTTTAACGCCTCAGCTCATGCCATATTACTAATCGCTGTCCAGGTCCTCCCCCCAAGGTATTATTATGAAATAGCCTTGACGGGGGCGAAACAATATTGCGTCCGCCGGAATTAAATACAAAATTAGGAGGTCGTTGATTCATCAGGAGGTGTAGACCCTGGTGTATAAAATTCGACGGGAAATTTTAAAGTCGAATTCGTGATTATATATTGATA